GGGTGTGCACATGTGTGGGGCCGCCGTGTGTGTGTGTGTGTGTGTGTGTGTGTGTGTGTGTGTGTGTGTGTGTGTGTGTCAAGGGTGACTGGGTGAACTAAGGGAACATTTTGGCGTTGACTATTTGCATTTTTCTGGCGTTGGCGTACTATGTTACCATCCTGAACACGTCCACACTGCATGACGTCACATGACAAGAACAAAACACAAGTGCTCATATCGCTTTAGCTCACACTTGGTTGGCTTCAGTGATGTTATTCAACTCAATTGTTTGTGTTGCTGAGGAACAAGCATTCATACAAATATGTACCTGCGTGTGTCATTTTTCAATATTCTTTTCATTATTTTCCCACTTTGGTCACTTTGTTCAGCTCATGTGGGCTATGTACTTTTCTCCAGGCCAATCAGTATTAATTTCCAAAATAGTGGACATTTTCTGCCGTAAAATCAAAGGCAGGGACATATAAGTGATGAAGTGATAAGGACATGGCCTTAACACCAAATGTCCACCACGTAAAGTGGATTTCAGTTCGGTGTGGTGCAGTTTATTAAGTGGGCCTGTAATCAAGTACACTTATGGAAAAAGGCAGACGACTCTAACTGGCAACCAATAAATGTCCAGAAGTGTGACAAGCTCCATCTTCCAAAAGCGTCACCAATTGGAGTGGAATATTTTGGAACCCGATCCAATGGAGACAGAGTTAAACGTAGACTATAATCGAACGGAACTTGGACGTTATCGCAAATACACCAGTATGAATGTTTTCCCCTCAGCAACATGGTAATTTAAATGAAAAGGAAAACGCGCTACTTGATTTGACGCTGCTTGGCCTTTGAGTCAGAGACTGATATAACCGCGAGTGATTGACATACAGGAAAAATAAAGGCTTGTCCGAACCTGTTGCATTTTCTCTAAATCAAGACTGGGCCTCCCCAACTCTCCACCGTAGCTGTGCCGATACTTTCTATAGGGTGCTGACTGGTCAAAGTGGGTCAAGATGATGGGCCGAGTGACTGGCTGCACCACTTGGAGCTGAAAGCGCATGGGAGGCGGCTTGATGCTGCACGGTGGACTGGAGCTGAAGAGCACAGGGCTGGAGGTGGCAGCCAGACGAGCATCGGGTTCGACCAGAGGCCTGGTGGCGGCGGCGGCGGGCGAACCGCAGCCACAAAGATCCCGCACCTCCTCATCGCTGGACGCGCTGCTGTGGTGATCGCCGTGGCGCTGCGGAAGTGCCGACACCCACTTCCTGCTGTCGCCGTAGCTGATTCGCTCCAGCTCTTCCTCTGAAGAGTGGCGATCCAGATTGGCGTCAAGAAGCAAGCGCAGACGTCGTAAACGGGCTGGCGAGGGGGCACCCTGGTTGTGCTGCTGGCTCGTAGCCAAGGGGGTGAGGGCACAATTTCGCCGTCTCTCTGTCGAAAAAAATGTGGAGGTGGTGTTTGGGAAAACCGAATGGCTAAAAAGTTAATGTTAATAAATAAATAAAGTAAAATTACATTTAAAAAACATCACATTCTGTGTAAATTAATAAATGAGGAAAATTCGGAGATAAACAACAATTCATAAGTAGCACAGGACAACCAAATGTGGTTGGCCAAGGAAGATACCTCTGTCTATTTGTGCAAGCTCCTGGTTCTCTCCCTCCGAGTCATCACTTTCACCGCCCTCGCCACTGCCGTGGTAAGAAAACTGGGGAACACAAAAAGACTCGGTTTGTCGCGGGAAGGATTGCATTTGTCAGAATACAACTCATACTTGACAAGGAGATCCCCAAATGACTTTGTATTATCTGACAGATGCAGTACATCAGATAATCAATGACAGCAGCTCAAAACCTCACACACAATTAAAGTAGGGATGCACCCATAGCAATCCCAGAACTGCTACTAGACATTTGGGCTCATACAAAAAAAAATGCACTTTACAGACAAAAAAAATAATAATAATAATAAGACAACAAAAGAAAATGAAAGCAGTCAATTGAAGCAAAAATCATGATATACAGTTGAAATCCAAAGAATAAAGATGTTTCTTCAAAAGAGTTTTAAAAATGGACAGGGCGGGGGCGTTTAAAGATTTGAAAGCAAACGGAAGTATCTTAAAATGAACTTGAAAATGTACTGAGAGCCAATGAAGGGAAGCCAAAATCGGGGTTATGTGCTCCCTCTTACGAGCTCCAGTTAGAGAAGATACTTGCTAAAAATACGCATGGCAACACTTATTTAGCCAAGTGCAAAATGGATGATGAACTCTGCTAGTGCTCCTTAGCATTCAGACTGAGATACCACAAAACAAAAGTGCCTTGTGTGACAGTGAATGGCAGGACTGTTAGAAAAACAAGCAACTGCGTATTAAAATGTCAGCCACGACAATGTGTTATTTGAAAAATAGATATATTTGAGTTCAACCTATGGTAGGATCAAGCAAAGCTTTTGAAAAACATTTTACGAAAATAAAAAAATAAAAATTAAAAAATCATCACAATTCCAAGTGTGCAGGAATGAACAAGTATCAAAAATTGGGATTACATTTGATCGTGTACTCAAATGTAACTACTTATACACGAACTGAAAAATGTGGCCTCCATGCATCCCTAATTTTGGTTCAGCTTGTGTTCTTGGGATGGTTCATATTTAGTCGAGTTAAACTGGCCCAATCCATACAAGGTAATGTTCAGATGAATCAAAAAGTTTGTCTTTTGTGAGTTAAGACAAGGCAACAATCTTTCCCCAAAGCCTGTCCCAGCAGACAAGGACGCCTACCCCAGTCGCAACAATGCAGATACCCTGCCGACCGCAATGTTCGCAGTTAAGTAATGCGCCTCACAATCGGTAATTACCACTTTGAAGCCTCGCTTAGCAGCTGCCATCTGCGCTTGTGTGCGTTTGTGTATGCTTGCACGCATGCATACACACACCAGCGTACAGAACACACCCTTCTAGACACACACACACACACACACACACACACACACACACACACACACACACGCTCTTCTCTCTCTGAATGTCTCTAAAAGAGAACCTCTGTCTATTTGTGCAAGCTCCTGGTTCTCTCCCTCCGAGTCATCACTTTCACCGCCCTCGCCACTGCCGTGGTAAGAAAACTGGGGAACACAAAAAGACTCGGTTTGTCGCGGGAAGGATTGCATTTGTCAGAATACAACTCATACTTGACAAGGAGATCCCCAAATGACTTTGTATTATCTGACAGATGCAGTACATCAGATAATCAATGACAGCAGCTCAAAACCTCACACACAATTAAAGTAGGGATGCACCCATAGCAATCCCAGAACTGCTACTAGACATTTGGGCTCATACAAAAAAAAATGCACTTTACAGACAAAAAAAATAATAATAATAATAAGACAACAAAAGAAAATGAAAGCAGTCAATTGAAGCAAAAATCATGATATACAGTTGAAATCCAAAGAATAAAGATGTTTCTTCAAAAGAGTTTTAAAAATGGACAGGGCGGGGGCGTTTAAAGATTTGAAAGCAAACGGAAGTATCTTAAAATGAACTTGAAAATGTACTGAGAGCCAATGAAGGGAAGCCAAAATCGGGGTTATGTGCTCCCTCTTACGAGCTCCAGTTAGAGAAGATACTTGCTAAAAATACGCATGGCAACACTTATTTAGCCAAGTGCAAAATGGATGATGAACTCTGCTAGTGCTCCTTAGCATTCAGACTGAGATACCACAAAACAAAAGTGCCTTGTGTGACAGTGAATGGCAGGACTGTTAGAAAAACAAGCAACTGCGTATTAAAATGTCAGCCACGACAATGTGTTATTTGAAAAATAGATATATTTGAGTTCAACCTATGGTAGGATCAAGCAAAGCTTTTGAAAAACATTTTACGAAAATAAAAAAATAAAAATTAAAAAATCATCACAATTCCAAGTGTGCAGGAATGAACAAGTATCAAAAATTGGGATTACATTTGATCGTGTACTCAAATGTAACTACTTATACACGAACTGAAAAATGTGGCCTCCATGCATCCCTAATTTTGGTTCAGCTTGTGCTCTTGGGATGGTTCATATTTAGTCGAGTTAAACTGGCCCAATCCATACAAGGTAATGTTCAGATGAATCAAAAAGTTTGTCTTTTGTGAGTTAAGACAAGGCAACAATCTTTCCCCAAAGCCTGTCCCAGCAGACAAGGACGCCTACCCCAGTCGCAACAATGCAGATACCCTGCCGACCGCAATGTTCGCAGTTAAGTAATGCGCCTCACAATCGGTAATTACCACTTTGAAGCCTCGCTTAGCAGCTGCCATCTGCGCTTGTGTGCGTTTGTGTATGCTTGCACGCATGCATACACACACCAGCGTACAGAACACACCCTTCTAGACACACACACACACACACACACACACACACACACACATACACACGTCCTTTTCTTTCTGAATGTCTCAATAAAAGAGGAAAAAGAAGAAAGGAGCCCTCTAAGTCCAATTCGGCGTGAACTCGACAGTATGAGTTCACAAGCTACGAGCTGTCAACCAACGGGGTTGTCAAGTTGGGAAACGAAACTTGGCATCACGTGTGATCACGGAACATTTGCGGATTCAAGTTATTCCATGTAAATGCAATGTGTGTTGTTGGTGGACATTGCGGATTCAACCCCCGGGGCCACACACGTCACACCTGACAGACTCTGAACCTTGCTGGCAGGCTAAGCTGCTTTGTGTGTAACACTTAATTACATCATGCAGAACAGCTGAATTGCCATCTGAGCTGACCTACTGAGAAATACCGAAGTTTCATCATGGTCTATCCTCCATGTACGAAACAGTCTAGTGACTGATAAATGTGATCTATTTTACATCTTAAAGGAAACATATCGTCTCAGTCCTTTAAATGAGCAATTATTGCCAGAAAGAATCAAGTTGGGAATCTCCATCTCCTTTGGTGAAGGAGCACAATCAACTAAAATGGCTGTTATTCAGCACATCACCGGAGAAGAGGTTGTTTCAATCTGCGACTATGTGATGAACAATAAATGGCATTGAGTTGACCCAAAAATGAATCATGACAGGAAAAGGTCTGAGTTGTGTTTTCTGGTTTTATAATAAGGCAAATGGGTCCTTCCTGTGAGTTCTTTACTTCGCTGACTTCCAAATGTGTCATTTTAGTAATGCAAACCACGTGAAAACTAAAGTTAAGAAAATCATTTTTTTGTAAAGCTAACCTGGCGCACATGAACAAATATTTGCATAGGTTTGAGAATATGTACACAAATGGTGCATGCTAAAAAGCAAAGGTGGGACCTTTCAATGTTTATTTATGATTGTATAGTTAGCAAATGTCAGAATGTTTAAAAAATGCATTCTTTAAAATAATTTCTAGTACAGTCAAACCTCGGTTTTCGAATGTTTCTTGTTATCGACCAAATCGGATTTCATCCAGAAAATTCGAGATTTTTACGCCTCGGATTACGACCGAAAACCGGTTTTCGACCAAACTGAGCAAGCGCCGAATACGCCACTCGACTCCTCTTGGCTTCCTTACATGAGGAAGTGACGCTTCCTCATGTAACGTTCATTGTGAGCAGACATGTTTGTTGTGATTTACGCAAATCTGTTTTTTCGTTATTTCTGCAGAGTATATTAGCACCTAATCATGGGCTAATAAAATAGTTTCGGATTTCGAACAAATCGCTTTTCGAGCAGCCTTCTGGAACGGATTATGGTCGAAAACCGAGGTATGACTGTACTTATTACCTTGGAAAAGTGTCATGGTTGATCTGTTTGGGACCAACAGGTGCCTTTGTAGGGCTCCTCCTACACCAGCACACCTGTTGGTCATTAGTAGGGTCTCGGTTAAAAGGACTCCCGGCCCGACCACTCAGTGTTGGGTCATGGTCACTGTTGCTGTCACTGCTTTTGTTGGTTAGTGTTTGTGCCTTACTGCCATGGATTTTTGTTTGTATTGCTTTTTTGGGGGGTCTGCAATGGGCTTTTTTTTTTGTTACTTTGGATTCTTGTTGTTTTCAGGTCTTTGTTCTGGATTTAGTTTTCTCAGTGTTTAGTTAATACAGTTTGTCAAGTTTACCCTGCTCCTCCCACCCTCCCTCCCTCCTGCCTGCTTTTTGGGGTCCTCCACCACCTAGTTCGTTCGTGACAGAAAAGACAAGATAAATTGTATGGGCCGGTTTTCCCCCCGTTTTTAAATACGAATCAATTACATCTGTCTTCTATTGGCGTGGAATGTTTTAGAATTGAACAATACGTACAAGTAATAGTTGAGAATAAAGCATTAAAAAACTAATTTTTTTTCATACTTGCTGGAACAGACAAATTGTGTGTCAAGAACAGCTGAATGAATCCTTGTCAGTGCCCTGCATCGCTGAGCAGATTGCTAAGCTGGATCAATGGCAATGTCACAGTGTAAACACACGCACACACACACACACACACACACACACACACACACACACACACACACACACACACACACACAGCAGCTTTGCTCTGTCACACTGACATGAACACTGTCACACTCCCCTGTCATGAAAGCGCACTAGCTCAGGGTCAGAGATGGGTAATTGTCTTTCCCACACACTCTTTCCCATAGCGTAGTACAATTAGTCATGATTAGGCTAAGCTCCTGGGAATAGTTGAGGAACACGGCCTAAGTGACCTCGAGTAATCCATGACCGCTGCCGGTTGACTTTAAAACTCAAATAACCACTCCTGAAACTCGTGTAAAGAAAACATCTTTGGGAAACTTTCATCAGACCCTCAACAGGAATCAAACCGGAGCGTTGACGATATCGGTGTTAAGTAAGAATCAGAATCAGAATCGCCTTTATTGTCATTGTATTGCATACAATGAAATTTGGGTGCCACTCCTTCGTGCATATCGTAAAAAAATAAAATAACGGTTTAGCAAATACAAAAAGAGACCATAAGGAAGACAGAAACTGGTAACACCGTTCGGCGTCTCCATTTTTAGCACAGTATGACTTCACTTAACTCACATAGCGGTAAACATTTGCAACAACCATGTTGTTATCCTACAACTCAACCTCCAGAGCTATCATTTGAATGACCGAATGTAAATCTGCACATGGAATGCATGTTTTTGCTTTCCTCTCCTACAAACCTGAAAAGAAACGACATTGGAGGTACTTATTTGTGACCAAGCCATACACAAAGTATGTTTAGGAGTCCATTTAAATATGGAACTTGTTTTTTCATCTATGAATTTATCTCTGCTTAGAATTATAGACTCCTAACCAAAATGAAAAGCTAATGTTTTGAACTTGGGTTGCAAAGTTTAAGAGTCAGATTGATGTTGGACAGTTTCAGGGCTTGGCCCATCGTACAGCAGTAAAAGCTAAAATCCGCGGCACGAATTCTTTCCCCGCTCAATCTCCAGATGCTGCAAAACATTATACGCGATCTATACAACAAAGATGGGACAAACTACACAGGGTTCCCCTTCCTACTGACCTGCAAAAATGTTTTATTAGCCATTCCTAGCTTATATAGTTGGTGCTAACTTTTCCTTTTTCTTTTTTTAAGAAAAGTAACTCCAAAGACCACTTCCGTTGGAGTGCATCATATTATCTAAAAGGTTTTCCAGCTGGTTCCGCACCCTTTTTGGGTGGGCTGCGGACAACTATGAAAAAATAATCTTAATAAATAAAATAAGGACTAGTATTCTTATTTGCATTTTTCTGGTGGTACAGGCTTCACGGGCGCCCCGACGACTCCTACGGAAGTCAAGGGATAGGTGAAGGTGAAGGGCAGAGGCACAGCAAGTTCCAACATGGAATTTATTAAGTGACAGGAAAGTTGCCTCACGCTTTAGCTGCTAGTTTACTCCATAAACAAATATAGTGCAGCTAAGCCTCTGGCTGGTGTTATGGCAAGCAAATATGCTTTTGGCAAAGAAGCAATACAACAAAGTGTGAAGTTAGTGATGTAAGTTAGACAGCAAATTACATTATCGACTGTCAATGACAATCTAATGCTGAACGAAAAGAAACTTACAAGTTGAAGTCAACTGAACCTCACAGGCCAAATTGTTTTGGGGTGAAGATGTGACTTTCTGCAAACCACCCCTCTTCATAATAGCGTAAGATAAAATTTGCAGCTCATCTGTTCTATTTGAAAAATGACGGCGAAATCACTCTTTGTCATAAAAACTGCAATACTGCAGAGAAATTGATGGAGTGCAGACGCATGATTGGTCAGGAAGAATGCTTACATCCAATCGGAGCAACAAACACAAACATGACACGACAATAGAGATGGCACACTTTGCTCTGGGTCCTCAGCCAGGCCTTTGAACAGGCGCCCTTTGGCACAAAATGGCTGCCATGTGACTGTATAGTTGGTCCGCGCACAATAGTGTAGTGAATAGGGCCAGTTAGTGACCCATGCAGGACACAAGCCACTCTTCTACACACCAAATGAGCCATTATATAGCCTGCAGCAATTGGGGAGCACTTCCAAGGGTTTTGTTGCAGAAAATTGAAGGGCGGATACAGTAGATGTTGGGAGACTTCAAGCTTAAAGACAATAACATTTTACTGAAATGTTTGTCTTTTTCATTCACCCGCAAGCACATCTATAGTTGTGACTACTTGTCACGTACGATACATATTTTTACATGAAGCTTCAAAACTTGGGATGATTTGACAACCTTCGTTGGCCCACTAAACCTCGAACCGATAACACTGAGCTCATCGTTGTCATTCACACACCTCGAGAGGCATCACTTAGTACCTTCAAACAAATAAATAGCTGTGTCATGGGTCAATGACATTCCACGTCTAGTGGTGCGTTTGCGTTGCAAAGTGGAACTGTGGTTTGCTCTTGGAAACATCTGGCAAAGCCCCATTGCCCATGACAAGTTAATTCCATATAATATACAGTTGTAATGAATGATGAAAAATGAACGAACACTCAACATTTTTAACAGCTGCTTTCAGGACTGTACAATGAATATAAGTTGTGCAAACTTACCTTCCGTTGGAAAGGGTGTATCTCATTGAGTGAGTGTCTTCTTAGCTTCTTGGTCAGGTTCTTTAACATGTTGACTTGACTAGCTTATGGCTTATCCCCTTACAAATAGGTTTTAATTGCTGGCTCCTATATATCGGATACAACTTCATTAGCTAACTGGAACGACTTTGCTCATATACAATAAGGCACACGGGGCTCTATACAACTGACAGCCCCCCGCCCCCCCATATCGGATACAACTTCATTAGCTAACTGGAACGACTTTGCTCATATACAATAAGGCACACGGGGCTCTATACAACTGACAGCCCCCCGCCCCCCCCGCAAAAAAAAAAAAAAACAATAGTCAGATGCTACACGCTCCCGAGTGCAGCAAAGAGAACACCCCAACAAAATTAAAACCCAAAATGGTTCAACTGCGTAGTCGTGGCTTCTAGTCAACGGATGTGCGTAGGTAGCAAACTTGTTATTTTCGAGTTCATTGAAGTCGGCGTTGATTTTGTGGAGTGTTTTTCTTCTCGCCGGGTGGCAATGATAGATGACTTACTCACCGGCGACCCGATTATACTCCACAATTAATTTGGAATGGGTTCAGAAAAATAGCGAAATATCAACTTGCACGCATTCACACACGCACGCACTCACACACACACACGCAACACACAACCAAATGCGAACCAGCTGCACGAGCCTTCCGAGTGTTGCTCCAGCCAGAGCATCTCGCTCTCTGATTGGCTGTACTGCTGCATGACGTCATACTCCGACGTCAAGGAGGAGGCGAGTTAAAGTCACGTTATCCAGTCTGTTTACTTCCCCTTTTCATATCTGAATAATACGCACTAAATCAAATACGATATTTTCAATTGTGTAGCTCTCAAATTTAAGTATTTTTAGCTTGCTCTGCGGTTAAAGTATACCGCAAACCACGGCTGACGGTCACGTTAACCCGTTTAAATAATGTGCAATGTGCTGAAAATTCAAATTTAGTTCTGAACGTAAAACCCCACTGAATGACCAGCCTTCATAGAGGCCAGTTGATGTCAAACCTCTTACACTGATGTGTGTGCGTGTGTGTGTGTGTGTGTGTGTGTGTGTGTGTGTATATATATATGTGTGTGTGTGTGTGTGTGTGTGTGTGCATGTATGTGTGTATATGTGTGTGTGTGTGTATATATATATATGTGCGTGTGTGTGAGTGTGTGTGTGTGTGTGTGTGTGAGGGGGGGGGGGGGGGGAAAGAGAGAGAGACACAGAGAGAGAGAGAGAGAGAGAGAGAGAGAGAGAGAGAGAGAGAGAGATGGCTTCAGACTCCAACACATTGCCAGAATGTTAACAATCAAGTTAATCGAGTTAATTCAGAGGTGAACAACATGGTGCCCATGGACACCAGATAGCTCCCAAGGACCACATGAGTAACCTCCAGGGCTGTTCAAAAAATAGCTTGTAATGGATTTTGTCATTTTCAAAGGAGTTGCATCTGGTTCATATTTTAATAATAACATAATTAAAGGTAGTTTTTGCTATTTCAAAACTGGTAGCACTTTGCATTTATCAGTCCCCAAGAAGAAGCTCTCAGCTTCAAAAAGGCTAGTGGACCCCGAGTTATATGGATCGTCAATTCTCAGTAAATTCTGCAAAATAGGTATTAATCCTGCCTGTCTGACTTGACCAATTCCAGCCAACTGTCCGCATTTGTTTGCCATACACCTACCTTGTACCTGACTACAGCCACCTTGACCTCAGTCCTGGGCACCCCCTAGCATCCAAATCCCCTCCAGCCAAGGAACATGCAACAAACACGCTGCAAATACCAATAAATAACTCATCTGCCGGAGACAAATTCTTTCTATGTTCTACATACTTGGCCAAGAAAGATGATTCCGATTCTGATCTTTCTCCAACTGTTTCCTTTCTGTATCTAACCATTTCTGTTGGCAAGCACCTTCGCTAGGGGCTCATACACAGCCGCTAGCGAAGGAAATTATTAATAATTGCAAACCGGCCCTATTCTGTATGAAAACATATAGTAATTAATTAATCAATTACAATGTAACATTAAACCATTTGTGCATCCTGATTAATTGACTGTGACTCCTTCTGGTGTGTATGACCTGGCCAGCAGGGAGCAGTACAGGATAATACATTTATGCATAGGGGAAAAAAGGATAGTTTCACAACTGCTGTGACTCAGCCAGCTGTTGAAATCGTGTTTTTCATGAAGAATAAAGAATATCAGAATATATGCCTGTGAGTATCGTTATATTGTTTGTCAACTAGTCAATACAGTACACTGTTCAGGTACAAATATTGCTTCATACGGAAGAGGATTAGGTCAGAATTCTGAGATTAAAGTCAGAATTCTGAGATTAAAGTGAGAATCTTGCCAACCTTATTTTTTTTTCTTCATTGGCCCTAATCCTCTTCCGTAGTTTCAAATGTTATAACACCAAAACTACTGATACTATTTGACAGCTTGTCTATGGCGTTTGGCAGTGTGTGTTTGCATTAAGCTAGCGCAGTGTTTCTCAAATAGTGGGGCGCGCCCCCCTGGGAGGGCGCAAGGCTCCGTCAAGGGGGCCGCGTTTGACCTCTGGGAACATGCTTTTTAATTTTTTTAGTCCTAAAATAACGTGCAGTTGCACCTCCACTACGTTAGAGGACAGTAGCGCTCTCATTGGCAGAGTTTGCGCAGGGATCATTCTCAGGGAGGAAATAAGACGAGGCTATGTAGCGCTTGGCTTCAATGTGACTACGGTGGCAGACGAGGAAGGATCGATGTGCTTACTGTGTTTAAAAATTTTGGTAGCGGGCAGCATGAAGCCAAATTAAGGCGTCACTTAAAGACATTACACCCCAATAACGCTGATAAGCTGCTTGAGTTTTTTTCAGCGAAAACGTGCCGAATATTGCCAACAATCATGCCGCTTTGTGACTGCTACTTCAGTCAACTAAAATACAGGTCCAGGCTACACATTGAGCAGGAGCCGAGAGTTGCTGTGTCCTGCTTCAAACCTCGCTTCGAAAAGCTGTGCATTGCAAAACGTGCTCATTGTAGCCATTAATCCAGACATCATCTTTGATTTAAAAAAAAAAAAAAAGCACAAATTCTTTTATATATTTTTGTTTTGCTGATTAAAGTTTTTTTTTAATATTGTGCTGCTGAGATAATGTTGGTGATTAGTTTGAATGATTTTATGTAATTTTATTTTTCAGTATCGTATGGTTTGACATGGTCAGTCAAAAAATATTTATTGTTAAATTCAGGATTTAATGTTATTTTTGAATTTCAGATGCAATTTAAATCTTTTCTGTTCCAGGTACTAAAGCTATTCTTTGTTGTAAGTTGGTCCATAAAGTTGGTCCATATTTCTTTCTTTTTTTATTCTCTTATACGTTAATAAGGATAAAGTGTTATGCAAAGGTGTACTTATAACAATTTTATAGACAAATTATACTATTTATAGTCGTGGGGGGGCAGATGTTTTCCTCTTCCTTGGGGGGGCATGACAGAAAATAATTGAGAACCACTGGGCTAGCGAAAGGCAAAGTAGTGAACTTCAACTGGGAGAGGCATAAAACAGCGTGAAGCCTTTTTTGGAAGAATTGTTTACCGTCCATCAAACTGCTGTTTGTTGTGAAGTGAATTTAATTAATTAACTACCATCATAAAGGGCTTGAAAAGTCCACTCACCTGTATTTCAAGGCACCACTGTGTCTGAAGCCATTACTCAAGCATCTAGTGCAGTGGTGGCCAACCCGCGGCTCGTGAGCCGCATGCGGCTCTTTGGCTGGTTCAATGCGGCTCCCGGGCTTTCATACAACAATTGTCGAAAACGCCTCGCCGATGGCGCTACCATTCGAACAACGGTGCTTAATACACAGAATGTGTATTACTTTCATCAATCCCGTTACTTGATTGACATAGAGGGCAACCAATCTGATGACTGAATCATTGCTCATGCGCAGACAACAGCGCTAAGTGGTAAGTGCTAAGCTAGTCAGCGAATTACCTCTGTTTTTAAGGCAGGGTTGCCCAATACGTCGATAGCAATCGACCAAGAGCCAGCAGACTGGTCCGAAGTCGAAGCGGTGGGAGGAGGAAATGGGGGTGGGGGGTGTGGGGGGGGGTGATTTGTGTGTTTGTGTCTTTATGTACACTTGCCTGAGTCGTGTGCGGGCAGCATGCGATCGGTTGACTCGTTGTTTGTCACGACTGTATATGTACCCTGTGACTGACTGGTAACCAGTTTAGGGAATAGTCGGCCTTCAGTCACCGAGAATAGGCTCCAGCAATCTCTCGTGACCCTGTTCAGGATAAGCGGTGTTGAAAGTGGATGGATGGATTATAAATTTTCGTCGTTTTCAAGGTGACTCGGGAGGGCGCAGCAATCGGTCTTTCTATTGATGAACTGCTACTGCTGAATAGTAAACTCTGCCCACAGCTTGTTCAGACAATATTTTTACATTTAATACATGTCGTTATGGTAAAGTGGGGATGCCTTAGATCAAATGTATGCATTATTGTAGCCTTTTAACAGATGCATTACTTTGCACAATGCATTTTGCATTATAGTCGTGCTTTGTTCTGCAATATGCAAAGCTCAATTCTGGGATATTTTCCAAGAGAAAGCAAACACTCAATATCTAAAATAAAGATATAACTTCAAAGGCACAGCATATTTCTCAACTTGTTCTGTTTTTTCCAATAAGTACTTTCTATTCGTCTGCTTTTCGTTTGATTTCAACTGGGATAGGCCCCAGCATGCATGACCCTGAACAGAGTAAGTGATGCTTTAAATGAATGGCTGGATGGATAATTTCTTGGAAAAAAACCACAACAACAACACAATATTTTGGAATCAGACTCGGATGAAGCCAGATTTTAGTTTCATGCATAAATGGTTTTAGAGTCCTTAAAATTAATGTTCCTTTTTCCTTGGGCGCTGACATCTTTGGCCACATGAGGGCAGCAACAGTATTTTTTTGGAAGCAATGAATTGGATTTATCATTAACAGCAAATAAGGGCCCCAAGCAATAGTTTTTTGTTAATGACAAACATTTAAAAAATGTCCAAACAAAGCCATTGCGTTTTGTCAACAGTCTCTATTTAAATTTGTATTTAAAATCAAGAGGATTTTTTCAATTCCAATTGCTGACACCATGTCCACAGTCTGAACATTGGTCTTTCCTGCTCTCTAGCGGCAGTTTGCCTGATACTGCAT